CTTCAACAAAATTTTTATAAAAAGTGGGCAAAACAGCTTACTCCTATCAAAAGATCAGTATTGTTTACTCTATACAAATCAGAACATCATAGTAGATTGCAACTATATATTTTGTTTACTGATAAATACAGCACTACTCCATGTAACAAGGCCTCTATCTAATAAGCTATACACGAATGTTCGAATAGTCAGAAAGAAATTTTCTGTTAAGGCATAGCTTTACAGTAGATATACAAATATTGTATTTGGTATATAATTTTTAAGCCTAGTACAGGTTATAATAGTGCTACTTAGATTGTGTTCATTTCTTTCTTCTTTTATGTTTTTTTCATCTTTTTCTAGTTATAATAGAATAGAGTTTAGGTTTTACTTTTTGTTTCTTTTTTTTCTTTTTATCTTTTATTTTTTTTCTTTCTTTTGTTTTGTTTTGTTTTTTCTTTCTTTTCCTAAACTAGCTTCGAGCTTTTTAAATTTCTTTTGTAATTGTGGCTAGTAAGTTCTCTTCTTGGATAAAAGTAAGAGTTTTACGTAAAAAAAAATTGTGAAGGAAGGAGGATGTGATCATGATTAGCTACAAGGTCCACCCCTTCAGCAAGTAATCTTAACATAGGAGGAAGACAAACTCTTGTTTTGGCAGATTACAGATAGGTACTCACGGTAACCAAATGAGTTGTATTTTAGTTTTAAGATATCTAATACTAGAGGTAGTAATAGTATTTAATAATATAACTACTTTATTTTTAAATAAAATATGATATGATTGCTAAAAAAAAAAAAAAAAAAAAAAATTTGCTCTCTTGTATAACTATGTATACTGTATATATTTAAGTTTTTGCTAGAAAGGTTTATATTAATGCATTAAAGAAGCATAAAGTTATTATACTCAAGATTAATCATATATAAAATAGATTTCAAAAGTATTAGACTTGTTGATAGGTTTTTAATATATCAAGAACACCATTTTTTGTGTAAAAGCAAAAAGTATAAATGATCTGATAGTCTAGCAACAGAAAAAAGAATATACAGGATTAATATATTTTTTTTGTTGATATTGTTTTGAAATCTGCAAATACACATGATTTAAACCATGGTTAATTCTGTAATTACACAATAAATATTTCAAACCAAATAATATAAAAACAATTCATACAAAGTTTTCCTTTTTAGTTATAATCAAACAACTATAAAAAAACTAAGAAATCAAGCAAGTCTTTGTATGGTAATAATACTTCACCTAGAGATGTGCCTGGTTACATATATGACCAGTATAGTGAGATGAATTGGCCAACTAATGAGATACATCCTTATTACAGTATCAAAGCATAAAATCTCTCATATAATAACATTATACTTATTATACAAGTAGAGATTATTGGTTTTTTAAGAGTTATTATTGTTCTATTGAATTTTTAAACTGAGATATATTTTTTAAAAAAAATAAAAAGAAAAGCTTTAGTTATCGTGCAAATATATATATAGATTTTTTTCTTATTCTTTTTGTACGATATTACGTAAGCACAATAATCTCACATTTAACTCGATATTGGATGATGCGATGATAAAATTTTCTGAATTTTTACGTTTTAGCATTACATTATTTTGGTGCTTACATAATCGATTTTGATTGGCTAATTTTGGCGCAATTAATTCTGATTGGTTAAATAAATCTATTTAAAAAAGTTATAACAATTTAAAGTTTCTACTATTAGTGGATGCGTTTTACTGTCCGATACTGTGCTATTTTTAACCAGTATATATGTTGTATTCGAAAGAATAGAATAACAAAATTCTTGAACACCTTGGGTAAGTTATACAGCTCTCATGATATTTTGGCAGAATAGGTGCCACCTGTATAAAATATTAATCTGATGAGATCTATAAAATTTATCTATTAATGTTAAATAGAAGAGGAAGATAGACCCAATGTAATAATTATTCATAAAAATGAATCGATATAATATTTAAAATTTATAATCCATTAGTATCCAAGAGAATCAACTGCACCAGTATAATGTCCTAAAAATAAATTATTCCATTTTTTCTACATTATTTATTGGTAATGATATGGAGTCTGCGTCATTGGCTAACAATCGATATCCTCCTATTGGATTTTCTTTTTTTCCTCTAAAGATTATATTCCACAATATAGGCGTAACTATCAAAGTTAGAGAAGTTATCGCTAAGATTACATAATATACCTCTCTTGATATAATTTCAAGACTTTTTGCACGGCTGGCAAGGATAAAAACGTATTCGCTTATCTGAGATAGCCCAATAGCCATTATGGCAGCGCGCTCAAAAGTGTGTCTAAATACTATTAAAGTTACACTACAAGTAACGAACTTAAATCCTATTGCACAAATTGTTAGAAAAAATAACAATGTTCCTTCATTGATAAAGAAGCTCGGATATACGTGAAGCCCAATGCTTGAAAAAAAAAGACATGAAAATATGTCTTTGACGGGTTCTACAAGTGTGATAGAAGATTCAGCTATAGATTTGTGGTTACCAATCAATATGCCAGCTATAAAACATCCAATTTCAACACCTAATCCAAGCATAAATGAAACATGTGACATTATCAGACATAAAGATATGGATCCAAGGAGAAACAATTCATGTTTATTGGTCCCTTTAATAGTTTTCAAAATCCAGGAAATAGGCAAATTTGCAACTATAAGGCTAAATATGCAAAATAATATCATTGACAATAGCAAATGTCCTGCTGTCATTATAACTTCAAGATCAGTTTTGGAAAAAGCGGGTAGTGTAGCCTGTATATATAATGAATCATAATTAGTTATTTTATGTATGTTATGATTTATCCAATAATGATATTAACTACTTACCAGCAATACCCCAAATAAAATATCTTGTACTATAAGAAAACCGTGTAATGATTCAAATTCTGTACAGTTTAATCTTTTCACAATAGCTGTACTTGAAAGTGACACGCATGCACCCACAAAAATCGCCTCATTTGTTTTAGCACCTATAATCAATCCTATAAAACCCGATATACTAAGGATTAAGGTGAAAATCATAGCAACACTACCTAGAGCAAACTGCCATATTGACTTAAGCTTATCTAACGAAAATTCCAATCCTAACATGAATACGATAAAAATAACGCCAAATTGTGAAAGTGTTTCGGTTTGAATAAGCTCCTATAAACAAAATGATAACATTGAATGAATAAATGCAATATTATATAAATATTAAGTTAGTAAATTATTTAAATCAAACACCTGAGTCATATTTAACCCAGCAGGGCCGAGAACACAACCAGCGACTATATAACCTAAAAATGCTATATTATAGTATTAAACGTTTATAAAAACAAAACCAGTCAGTTTATTTCAGCCTATTTCAGTGTATTTCAGTATATTTTAGTGTATTTCAGTGTATTAGTAATAATAATATCCTGATCCGTTGGGTATTAGCGGGACTTTCAGCCCCGCTAATTCACATACGGTCAGGGTATTATTAATTAATACTCCCGTGATCTTGAATAGTGATCGGGGTATTATGAAATTAATCTACCAAGTCATCCAAAACCACTATTTGAACATACAAGTTATATCACATCTGTTACCAAAGATTTGCGTGATGGCGTTAGTTATTAGCTTCCTTTTGGTCTAGTTAATAGATGGTATTTTGCAAAAATGCCGTTAAATACTCTTTAATTGCAATGCTTCTACGGTCTAGCAGAAATCTTAAATATTTATTTCTTGATGAAATTATTTGCAACCAATTTATATTTAAAGACTTTATGAAAACACTACTATTATCTCAGTCGATTTATATCTTACGCATAGTATTAGTTTTGATTTTAAATCTAAAGCAATAGATGCATTAATAAAGACCTTTTGTAAAAATTCTATTTTGGCTTCATTGTGACTTTCATCAATTCAACTTGATAGTAAAGAAGTGAAGACACTATTAGAGACTCTTTATAAAAACACTATCTTAAATTCCTTAGGACATGATGATTATCGGATTGGTACCGAAGAGGTAAAATGTTTGAAGAGTTTCTTTGCAAAAACACTACGCTGATTTCATTGAGTCTTTGTGTGATGATATGGGTTGGACAGATTACAATGATATTGGATCAGAATATGGAAAAGCATTAGCAGGCGTACTTTGTAAGAATAATATCTGAAATTTTTGAATCTTCAATCTAATTATTTCGGATCAAAAGCATTTGCAGATTCGCTTGCAAGAACACCATTTTGACTTCTTTGAATCTTGGTTATAATTATCTTGAAACAGAAGGAGGAAAAGCATTAGCCAATGTACTTTACGAGAACACCACATTGAATTCTCTGGATCTTAGTGAGAATAATTTTGGGTCAGAAGGAGGAAAAGCATTAGCAAAAGCACTTTACAAAAACACCACGCTGACTTCTTTGAATCTTAGCGATAATAATATTGAATCGGAAGGAGGAAAAGCATTTGTAGATGCGCTTTGAAAGAACACTACGCTAACATCATTGAATCTTCAATCTAATGATATTGATCTTGAAATAAAATCAAACAACCAAAATATAGAAATATTACTATAAGCATAATATCGTGGTATTAAATGTAATTCAATAGTAATAAAAATAAACATGTTCAAGTAAAGATTTTATAAAGATTGTGGAGTATGAAGCATAAAGTTTACCATTGATTCATCTAATTGATAAAATTTTTGTAATTTTAACGAATGGATCTAAAGGTACAACCTTAGGGCGATGAAAAGAACTTTTGAGTTAATCAAAAGAGTTTCAAGTTCATAATCTATTGCAAATATAATAATTAAAAAGCTTTTGTCTAGATAACATTTTTAACAAACTATAAATATTGTGCAGTATATGATATAAAGTTTAATCTGATAAATTCAGGAGAAATAAGATGCGGCTCCATAATTCTTATTTCATAAATATTTCTTATTTTGGAACTTCTAGATTTGATAGGTTGTATATTTCTATTCTTGTTACTATTTGCAAAATCTATCACTGTGAACGCTTACTACGCCAATAACTTGGCACTTATTCAAGAAATAATGACTTTTATATTTGCTGATTGAATTCTATTTTCTCCCGAATTGTAAAATCTAATTTAGGCCATTTAAAGTTAATTTACTGGTTTTCATATCATTAAAACTTCTGAACAAACGCGGTCACACGGCATTTTTTTCCAAAATTTTCATTAAAACTTTACTTAAATACTGTATTTACTTAGTTATTGTATATAGATATAATTTTAAGAGTATCTATATAACATATATGAAAAAAATTCAAACATTGAATTGAAAAAAATTGACCCGCCCGGGATATTTAAACTAGAAAATTTACTTTGCTTCGCCTTATGTATAGGAATATTGATATATCCAGTTCATATATATAATCCATTATCCCGCATTTCAAACCAGGCTAACAACATGACATAACAATTATCTATTATAAATCTCTAACTAAATCGTATAATTAGATATCTTACTTTTTTCATATTTAGCGAAATCCGTTCTTCGCTAATAAATTTAAATCTATAATAAAATTCTTGTTATAAATTTGAAACTACGCCTGGATCCAAAATAAGTTAAAGTCGAAACTGAAATTGAGATTGTTGTTTAGGAAGTTGAATTCTCCAGAGGATTGAAAGAGCCAAAGAAGTACCCGTAGTTAACGGTACATTATCAAATCAATTACTACCATCAGTTCAGAAATGAAGAACTTTAGGAGTCGCAAACTAATTCTACTGTATAAAAAAGATAAGTCTAAATAAATAATATAAAATTTTTGAATTAATTAACTATAAATGGATTAAAATAGAGTAAAGAAACCGTCAACTCATCATCTTCATCTAAAGCTATAAATGATTTGCACTAGAAAATTTTTTTTCTGAAAAACAACCTGATTAAAAAAGACAAGATTTTAAAAACTTATTAACACAAATAAATAATTAAACCGAAGTTATAGATTTCTAAATATATTTAGGAGATAAATAACCAGTCTGTCCAAATACAGCTCACTCTTGTTAAAATAAAAACAAATTTTAAATATTGATTTATGAAACCCAGAAAATTTACTTACGTATTGATGCATCAGTTCACATATATAAACCAGTACGTCGCATTTCAAACAAGCAAACCACGTAACAATTCTATATTATAAATCTAATTACTGTAAATCGTACAATTAGATATCCTACTTTTTTCATATTTAGCGGATAATTCAATAAATCTGTTATTCGTCTAATAAATTACAATAAAATTCTTGTTATAAATTTGAAACTACGCCTGGTTTGCCGATCATTCACAGTTTAGATGTAATATCTATTATATAGTTGTTAGACGAAACCTCGAGGTTTCGCGCTGACGAAAGTCGAAACCTAGTTTCGACTTTCGTCAACTAAAAT